TTGTTCACTACCTCTATTACTTCTGCAGTTTGATTGAGGCTGGTTACTGGACCGACCCAGTCTCATATCTACATTTTACACTGTAAAGGTGCGAACTGCGTACTAAATATGGCTACACTAGGACTTAGAGTATCCAGAACAGCTTGCACCTTACCTGGATCTTCAATAAGCAGTACAATGTCGTCTGTATGCTCAAGATCAGACAGTCTGCTATCTGGGAGCGAATCGACGCCGCTATCCTTGCACGAGGATAGGGAAGTTAGATAGAAAAGGAGGGAGGGCAATCCTGAGGAACACTACTATCTGTGGTGAACTCAGAAAAAAAAATGAAAGGAGCTCGAACTCGGTTTCCGCTATTAGAATAAGATCTCAAAATTGAAATTAACTATTCGGAGACACTCTCTAGAGAGAGGCAGCGCCAGAGTATAGATAGGCTGACCGAGTCTAAAGTGGCTTTCATATCGAGGAAGACAGCATCTACGAAAGGTGTGTTTTACAATTAAGAGAAGAGCGAAGATATGGTCGATATAACCTTGACCATGTCTAAAACCAGCCTGATTCTCACGCGCGAACTCCTCGCATATGACAGACAATCGACGGAGCATTATACCAGCGAGAAGTTTAGAAGCAATGTTGATTAAACTAATTCCTCTGTGGTTTTCACAAGAGAATCTGTCACCTTTCTTGTAAATCGGTATGTTTACCTATTTACACCACACAGTCCTCTCTCCCACACTGAGCCCAGGAGTTTCGGTAACTCCGAAACCAAAGCTGAACCTCCAGCCTTGGAAACCGATGGGAACAGCCCATTCGGGGCGAAAACCTTATTCCAGTTGAGATAACTTATTTCCCTGGAAACCTCCATTTCAGATCGAGGACTGGCATCAACTGGGAGTATTAACCCAGTCGGGCTGGGGGTGATAAGTTAGCTGTCCATGGGGGCCAATTGAACTGAACCTCGAAATGTTCAGCCCATCGATCAAGATGGCGTTGCTGACTGAATCAATATGCCGTCAAACTCCTTAATTAGGTCACTTACGCCCGTATTCCTAATGAGACGATAAAAATTGCAGTCACAGTCTCCTCCATCTCTCTACACTTCTTTATCCACCACTTATCGCGGTCAATCATCAGACTTAACCCACGTTTGAGATTTGTGCTCTGTCAGAATTGGCATCAGAAGGAACGGTTCTGTAGGCATCTAGCAAGATAGCTGAGGTCGATGATATCCACCGATTGTGCTTTGATCGCGTGCTAGAATCCACCGTTACTTCGATCGATATTGTGTAGCGTCTTGGATTAACGTCCGGTGTTCGCTGAGTCTTTCGGTTGATGGTTGAACTGAGAGGCAATCAGAGAGTTACGCTTCGAAGGCCGATTTGCAATTATCACTGATATAGTGTTGTGAGCATCCGTTTCCGGTGGCTTTTCTGTGATTGTTTAACAGACGTAGGAACAATCTGGCTCATAACAAAAAGTGGTTCGCGTCCACGGGTGTTGCTGAGTAAGAGCAGCAGTCTTCGATGGATTCTCGTCAGTGGTAGCTGATGGTGACGTAGTCGATTCGAGTCTACCGCTGGAAAGAATTAAGGGGTTTCCATGTGAGGCAGCGTCGTTCATCATCATCATCATCATCATCGTACAGCGAAATACGGTGAAGCAAACTTCACCAATCGCTGCCAAACTCGCAATGCGTACAGGGTTAGTGGTAAAATCCAAGATTGACAGGGATTGGGCCTACTTTGAGGGAGGAAGAAGGTGAACCACTATGGTCAACACAGAGTGCACAATCGAACTGTGCATTTGTACCGTTTCAAGTATTCTGACCTGATAAGAAATGACAACAAGAACTCCAATGCTGTTAGTTCAATGTCTCCAACCAACCAGTTGCGGAGTCTTTTGGACCCCAACCCGGAAGGCACGTGACACCTACTCTACCTCATGGCTCTGTGCATTTATTCAGGCCTCGTCTCCACGTCCTCTATTGACCTCCACGTGGCTTCCTTTAGCCCCGAGCGGCTATAGCGAATAAGACGGCGTCATTACACGTGGGAGATGTTGGTGATCTGTAGAAACAATCTGTAGTCCGCACAGAGTTGGAGTGGGTGATCTCCGTAGTCAGGACGGTTGATTGGGATTGTATGAGTACCATCAAGAAACCTTTCTGACTAGTCCAGGGATTCGACTTGAGCACTGAATTATCCAGCGACTACCACGATGTCCGTTGACTGAGCAATTTGGAGTAGTTGAGAAACATCCTTTTAGAACTCACCGTCGATTTCAGATGCACTGCAATCGGTTGGTGCATGGTCCTGTAGCTGTTGACTTGTACTGAACCATCCAGACGTACAGTGCAAAGTCGGCTACTGACAAGAATCCATTCAAGAAACGAGCAATTGGCGCAACCACAACACCAGCAATACCGCGAGCTTCGGATGTCGAATCACCTGATACA